CGCCCCCGCCCGCCACGCCCGGCCACGCCCCCGCCCACACCGGCCACGCCCACTTCGGGATAAGCCACGCCCCGTCCGCGGATTGACGCTCCTAATGTGGGCAAAGACACGCCCACTCGCCCTTCTGCCCCGCCTCTTTCCTACGCGGCTCCACCCCCTCGCAGCTGAACCACGCCTCTTCTCCGTCCGCCCCGCCCTCTCCGAGCTAAACCACGCCCCCGTAATCCTTAGCTCCACCAATCACGCGTGGTCACACCCCGTTCTACGGTAAACCACGCCCTTCCCGCGCTCGGCCCCGCCCCTCCCAGCGCGCCCCACGCGGCCGCGGGCGATGGGAGCAGCGGGGGCCACGCGGGCGGGCCCGCACGGCGCATGCGCAGCTCGGGCAGCGGCTCCGCCTCCCCCGTTGGCATTCGGCCCCCGGGTGTCACGTGACGGGCGGAGCGCGGGGCGGAGTGACGTCACACTGAGCGCACTGAGCTCAACATTAAATGACGTCATCCTTTTGCACCACATCCCCCAATCAGTGACGTCATGGGAGCACACACGTCTTCGTCCTGTGACGTCACAGAGCACACACACACACACACACACACACACACGCATCCCCATCCTGTGACGTCACACTGCTGACTTATGAATGAATACCTCTACCCCATGACATCACAGAGGCACAACCCTGCCCTGATACCCCATGACGTCACATAGCCCCCACACAACCCTGACACCCCGTGACGTCAAAGCGTGTCCACACTCCGTCACATGACGTCACGCGCTGCCGTTGACGTCACAGAGCACGCAGAACCCCTCGCACCCAGCCCGTGACGTCACCCATCACCATGACGTCACCCGCCGGTCCCCGTTTCCCCGCGCGGCGGCGCCCTCTCTCCCTGCCCATCGATCGCTCTGCGCTCGGCGCGGGGCGGTCCCGGCAGGCGGGCGAGCCGAGCGCCGAGATGAGCCTGGCCGAGGGCCGCGCCCCGCGGAGAACGGCGGGGAATCGCCTCTCGGGGCTGCTGCAGGCCGAGGAGGAGGACGAGTTCTACCAGACCACCTACGGCGGCTTCAACGAGGCGAGCGGCGCCGCGCGGGACGCGGGGCGGGCCCGGCGGCGGCGGCGGCATCGGGAGCGGGCCCGGCGCCGCGGGCGGGCGGCGGGAGCGTGAGGGGAGCGGGGCCGGGCACAGCGAGCGGGGTCCGGGGAACGGGGCTGCCCGGAGGATGGGAGGATTTCCAGGGAACGGGGCTGTCCCGGGATGAGCGTTTGGGATCCCCCGGGTGATCCGTGCCGTGCGGCCCCGGGATAACGGGCACCGGGGGATCCAGCCCGTGTCCCACGGCAGGCTGGGCACAAAGAGACCTTGGGGACCCCGCGTGGGGTCCCGCGGCCCCCAGTCCCAACATTCCCGGCGGTCCTGGCATTCCCACACTGCCGGCATTCCCGGGGAGTACCGCGGGGAGCACTCGGTGGGACTCCCTGCTCCACAATCCCGACATTCCCGACATTCCCCATCCCGGGACTCCCTGCTCCACAATCCCGTATTCCCGACATTCCCCATCCCAGGACTCGGTGGGACTCCCGGGTTCCCAATTCCACTATCCCGACATTCCCGACATTCCCCATCCCAGGACTCCCTGCTCCACAATCCCATCCCGGGACTCGGTGGGATTCCCAGGTTCCCAATTCCACATTCCCGACATTCCCCATCCCGGGACTCCCTGCTCCACAATCCCGTATTCCCGACATTCCCCATCCCAGGACTCGGTGGGACTCCCGGGTTCCCAATTCCACTATCCCGACATTCCCGACATTCCCCATCCCAGGACTCCCTGCTCCACAATCCCATCCCAGGGCTCGGTGGGACTCCCGGGTTCCCAATTCCACATCCCCGACATTCCCCATCGGTGGGACTCCCTGGTTCCCAATTCCACATTCCCGACATTCCCAATGTTACCCTCGGAGTCCGGGCACAACGAGCCCCGCGGGGACCCCGGGCGCGATCCCGGTGTTCCCGATCCCGTCATTCCCGTCATTCCCGGCATTCCCGCGTTCCAGGAGTCGGGGGATGACGAGTACCGCGGCGAGCACTCGGACAGCGATGACGAGGTGGACTCGGACTTCGACATCGACGAGGGCGACGAGCCGGGCTCGGAGCAGGACGAGGCCGAGCCCCGGCGGCGCCGCCGCGTGCTCACCAAGGCCTACCGGGTACCCAGCCCCTCCCGGGGGGAAAATTCCCGGGTTCCCAATCCCGTATTCCTGACATTCCCCATCCCAGGACTCCCTGCTCCATAATCCCGTATTCCCGACATTCCCCATCCCAGGACTCCCTGCTCCACAATCCCGACATTCCCGACATTCCCCATCCCAGGACTCCCTGCTCCACTATCCCGTATTCCCGACATTCCCCATCCCGGGATTCCCTGCTCCACAATGCCGACATTCCCGACATTCCCCATCCCAGGACTCCCTGCTCCACTATCCCGACATTCCCGACATTCCCGACATTCCCCATCCCGGGACTCGGTGGGATTCCCGGGTTCCCAATTCCACAATCCCGACATTCCCCATCCCAGGGCTTGGTGGGATTCCCGGGTTCCCAATCCCGACATTCCTGACATTCCCCATCCCGGGACTCGGTGGGATTCTCGGGTTCCCAATTCCACAATCCCGACATTCCCGACATTCCCGACATTCCCGACATTCCCGACATTCCCGACATTCCCGACATTCCCGACATTCCCGACATTCCCGACATTCCCGACATTCCCGACATTCCCGACATTCCCGACATTCCCGACATTCCCGACATTCCCGACATTCCCGACATTCCCGACATTCCCGACATTCCCGACATTCCCGACATTCCCCATCCCGGGACTCGGTGGGATTCCCGGGTTCCCAATTCCACATTCCCGACATTCCCAATGTTACCCTCGGAGTCCGGGCACAACGAGCCCCGCGGGGACCCCGGGCGCGATCCCGGTGTTCCCGATCCCGTCATTCCCGTCATTCCCGGCATTCCCGCGTTCCAGGAGTCGGGGGATGACGAGTACCGCGGCGAGCACTCGGACAGCGATGACGAGGTGGACTCGGACTTCGACATCGACGAGGGCGACGAGCCGGGCTCGGAGCAGGACGAGGCCGAGCCCCGGCGGCGCCGCCGCGTGCTCACCAAGGCCTACCGGGTACCCAGCCCCTCCCGGGGGGAAAAACCCCCAAACAAACCCCAAACCCCGGGGCTCCCGGGCCGCTAGCCGCCGCCGCTGTCCCTCCCGGGCCGCTAGCCGCCGCCGCTGTCCCTCCCGGGCCGCTAGCCGCCGCTGTCCCTCCTGCAGGAGCCGCTCAAGAGCCTGCGGGCCAAGAAGGCGGAGGGGCCGCGGGGCGGAGCCCAGAAAGGGCGGGAGGTGAAATGCCTGCCCCTGGAGCTGCAGGAGGACGGGGGAGACAGTGAGTGGGGGGGAATGGGGATGGGGTGGGGATGGGGATGGGGATGGGAATGGGAATGGGGGGGGATGGGAATGGGAATGGGAATGGGAACGGGAATGGGAACGGGGGGAATGGGAATGGTGTGGGGATGGGAATGGGAATGGGAATGGGGTGGAATGGGAATGGGGATGGGAATGGGGTGGGATGGGAA